GTGACATTTTCGTTGGGCCAAAATTTTAATATTATTTATTTAGTGCGAGGCAACGAAATCTCTCGGTTAGGCATGATAATTTCGACGAGTCAAAATGGTCACCGCATTGTTGTGCGACAACTTTATTCGACGGACAAACTCTGTTTCACCCGATGAATTTCTATTTTTATCATGTAAAGTTATACTAGGGGGTGGAGAACTGGACTAAGCCTCACAATGTGCTAACAATAATGTGATTCAAATTCATCTTTGGCGAGAATTAAACCTAAGACTTCTCACTTACAAGTGAAGAGGAATATCACTAGATCGTATTACTAAGTAGCTCTACAACAATATATTTATATCAAGAGAATAATTTGATTACGTGCACGCTAATTTTAAAATAAAATTACAATTTAGGGCATTTGTCTCTGTACCATTCAAGAAGGGTAAATTACATTTTACCACCTCATGTTTAAGGTCTATTGTAACCTCATACAACATCTTCAAAAAAATTACTTTCATACCTCACATACTATTTAATTTCAATATAAAACATCCATTACATTTTTTATCCATTGATCCCTTAAAAGATGACGTGGCTGCCATATTTGTGTCACGTGGCTGACAATTTTGTGGAACGTGACAAAATAATAATTTTTTATTCATTAAAAATATTATAATATTGACCCTATTTAAATAATAATAAAAAGAAAAAAAAAGGCAAAACTGAAAAGAATGAAGGAAAGGAAGGTGGGTCAGGGTCCCCGGGGGGGGGTGAAGAGAGTGGAGGAGAGGGAGGTGGGTCGGGGGGAATGGTTTCTGGGTTTAAGTTTTGCTTTTTTTTTTTTAATAGGATCAATATTATAATATTTTTAATGCATAAAAAATTATTTTTTTGTTACGTGGCACAAATTTGGCAGCAATGTCAGTTATTAACGGATCAATGAATAAAAAATGTAACGGATGTAACGGATGTATTATATTGAAAGTGATTTTTTTAAAGATGTTATATGAGATTGTAATAGACCTCAAATATGAGGTGGTAAAGTATAATTTACCCTAAGCATGACTATTGCCTATTGGGAAAATGGGCGATAAAATTACAACTACGGCCTTTGTGTGTGTTCCATTCAAGAATCATGACTATTGCCTCTTGGACCCTACCATATGGCCACTCAAATCGACCACCACTCTTCACCGTTGAGATGTGGAAAAAAGAGACCCCATATAATCTAAACCCTACCTTTTAATGTAAAGCATAAACTTTTTATTTGTTTTTTGCTTTTTTGGTCGACCAAAAAATATTTATAGTCTCGTCCTTTTGTAGTGGGAGCTAGACTTGACAGTTTTTGACACGAACGAAAATGACACGAAAATAACAAGTTTCGGGTCAACATGATAACTTATCGGGTCACTATCGGGTGACCCGTTAAGAACCCGTTAATAACGGGTTCTTAACAGGTATACACTTGGGTAACACGTGAGTGACCCGTTTCGACCCGTTAAGAAAAAAATTATTTTAATAATTTTAAAGTTTAATTACTAAAAGATTTATTATAAAATACAATAGTCATATTAATATATACAATATATTCTATATTAAATATATAGTTTTGTATTATTGTTCTATATAAATTATTAAAAAAAAAAAAAGTTTTAGTCATTATTTATTTTTATTATCAGAGTTCCTTATTATCATTACTAGGATAAATTTTACATAACATATTCTTGTCCAAAATTAAAATATACTAGTATAGTATTTGTATATGCAAGAACTAAGAAGACATACATACAAGTACGAAAAATGTAAAAGAATATATAAACACTCGTGATTTATTATTATTCCTCTACGAATAGATAATTGTTACACTTATATTATTGTTTAGATTTTTAAAATCCTTCAAACCCTCATGAATAATTTTTTTTATTTGAGGGAAAAATTAATAATAATTATTGTAGAAGTGTAAAAAAATGTAAAAATATATATATACAATCACTCATATATTAAAAAATGTAAATGCTTTAAATTAAAGATCAAATTTATTCATTACATTCTTATAGCGTCGAGGAGTGTATATGTACAAAATCATCAAAATCAAAGCTAAAATAACCGTTAAATTGTGATTTTTCGTTTATAACCGTCGAAAACTTTTGTTCCGTTACGTAATCTCTGAATGTTTGTTTTTTACGATTTTTTAAGTTTGCAATCTCGGAATGTGTACAAATAAGTTTGACGGTTGGATCGTTGAAAAAAGTTTCGTAGAATGCATATTGCGTCAAAACGGCATATTAAACAAACACTTAGAGTTAATATTATACTTCTATTAAGTATAAAATAAGTTTTTGTGGTATCCACTAGTGTAAATACTTTAAATTAAAGATCAAATTTATTCATTACATTCTTATAGGGTCGAGAAGTGTATATGTAAAAAATCATCAAAATCGGAGCTAAAATAACCGTTAAATTGTGATTTTTCGTTTATAATCGTCGAAAACTTTTGTTCCATTACCTAATCTCTGAATGTTTGTTTTTTACGATTTTTTACGTATGCGATCTTGGAATGTGTACAAATAAGTTTGACGGTTTGATCGTTGAAATTTTTTTTGTAGAATGCATATTGCGTCAAAACGATAGATTAAACAAACACTTGGAGTTAATACTATACTTTTATTAAGTATAAAATAAGTTTTTGTGGTATCCACTAGTGTAAATACTTTAAATTAAAGATCAAATTTATTCATTACATTCTTATATGGTCGAGGAGTGTATCTGTAAAAAAATCATCAAAATTGAAGTTAAAATAACCGTTAAATTGTGATTTTTCGTTTATAACCGTCGAAAACTTTTGTTCTTTTATGTAATCTCTGAATGTTTATTTTTTACGATTTTTTACGTATGCAATCTCGAAATGTGTACAAATAAGTTTGATGGTTGGATCGTTAAAAAAAGTTTCGTAGAATGCATATTGTGTCAAAATAGTTGATTAAACAAACACTTAAAGTTAATATTATACTTCAATTAAGTATAAAAAACAGTTTTGTGGTATCCACTAGTGTAAATACTTTAAATTAAAAATCAAATTTATTCATTACATTCTTATAGGGTCGAGGAGTGTATATGTAAAAAATCATCAAAATTGGAACTCAAATAACCGTTAAATTGTGATTTTTCGTTTATAACCGTAAAAAACTTTTGTTCCGTTACGTAATCTCTGAATGTTTGTTTTTTATGATTTTTTTATGTATGCGATCTCGGAATGTGTACAAATAAGTTTGACGGTTGGATCATTGAAATGTTTTTTGTAGAATGCATATTGCGTCAAAACAGTAGATTAAACAAACACTTAGAGTTAATATTATACTTCAATTAAGTATAAAAAACAGTTTTGTGGTATCCACTAGTGTAAATACTTTAAATTAAAAATCAAATTTATTCATTACATTCTTATAGGGTCGAGGAGTATATTTGTAAAAAATCATCAAAATCGGAGTTAAAATAACCATTAAATTGTGATTTTTCGTTTATAACCGTCAAAAACTTTTGTTCCGTTACGTAATCTCTGAATGTTTTTTTTTTATGATTTTTTACGTATGCGATCTCGGAATGTGTACAAATAAGTTTGACGGTTGGATCGTTGAAAAAAGTTTTGTAGAATGCATATTGCGTCAAAACAGTAGATTAAACAAATACTTAGAGTTAATATTATACTTCTATTAAGTATAAAATAAGTTTTTGTGGTATCCACTAGTGTAAATACTTTAAATTAAAGATCAAATTTATTCATTAAATTCTTATAGGGTCGAGGAGTGTATCTGTAAAAAATCATCAAAATCGGAGCTAAAATAACCGTTAAATTGTGATTTTTCGTTTATAACTGTCGAAACTTGTGTTCTGTTATGTAATCTCTGAATGTTTATTTTTGTATGATTTTTTACGTATGCAATGTGTACAAATAAGTTTGACGGTTGGATCGTTAAAAAAAGTTTTTGGACCGCCAGCAAAAGATAATTTTGTAGTAGCGAAACCTTAAATTTATTTAACCGTCGATTGTCATTTACGCTTTATTCTTCTTACTGAATTTCATTTTTAAAATTTTATTTTTTGAAAACATGATCATCTGGCGGATGTAAGAAGATGATATCACGTTTCGATATTTACGGTTAACTGAAATATGAATCAATGTCATATAATTTGTAGAAACTTTATAAACATCAAGCAATATTTTCACTAACCGTAAAACTCTAAATATAATATCAACGATCCAAACCATTCATCTACCTGCACCCTCTAATAGATCATGTTTTCAAAAAAGAAAATCTAAAAAAACGAAATTTGATAAGAACAATTAAGCATAAATGTAAACAACAATCAACGGTTAAATTTTGATCTATGATTTATATGATTATAGTGGCGAATTTCGAAGTTAAGCTCTTCATGAAAGTTATAAAGCTTGTCATTACGAGTGTTTGTATATTTTTTTACACTTCTACATTAATTAAAAAACTATTAAAGACTTTAGGTAAGCGAAAATATACTTAAAACAAAATTGCGTTTTTATGTTTTGGATGTGATAATATGGAATGTATATATTTATTTAGTATTATGTTTTTCATTTGATTATTTATTGGTTTAAAATATATTTTCCTTAACGGGTAACGAGTCGGGTCATATTACCTGTTAATATTATCGGCTCGATTTCGGGTTGGGTCATTTTACCCGTTTATTTTAACTGGTGTTACACGACACGACCCGTTAAGATATTAGGTATGACACGAAAACGACACGAACACGGAAAACACGACACGAATGCCAGGTTTAGTGGGAGCTAACCCATTACCCTAAATAAAGTAAAAGGTCAAGCAATTATGCAATGTCTGCAATCCGACTACAAACCACTTAGTACAATAATTTAAAGATATTTTAATCATTTATAAGTTAAATGCCTTAATTTATTATGAAACTTAACTTACTCTTCTACTTTTTTAATATAAGATAATATGGATCTTAGAGCAAAAAATCCGATCCCAGATCTGTAAAATGGAACAGACACGAGCGGACACGTACATCGTCAGGCGTCCTCAACTTCTCATGCCAACCTCCTTGACACGCGTCACAAACCCAGTAAACACGCCACCACCTCCCTATAAATATCTCTGAAAATCCTCCCCAGATCAACAAGCCTGCAAGCCTTTGAAGTCTCTCTTGGATTCGATCAAAAATCTTGTTTTTTGTTGGCTTGCGTTTGAAAAATGGCCGAAGAAAGTTTCATGGATAAGGCCAAGAACTTCGTGGCAGAAAAGATAGGAAACATGGCGAAGCCAGAAGCAGAAGTCACAGATGTTGATTTCAAGAAGGTGAGCTTGAGCTCTGTGGAGTACCTTGCCAAGGTATCAGTGACCAATCCCTACAGCCACTCCATCCCCATCTGTGATATCAAATACACCCTCAAAAGCGTTAACAGGTTCCATTTCTCACTTTTTAACACTGCTCAATTGGGTTCTTTGATTTCTGGCTGCAACAATCTTTGCGAAGTTCCGCTTTCGTGCATATATTTCTAGCTGTGTCGAATCTGATCCGTGTAATTTTCCAATTGTTTCGATCCGAGGACACATATTTAGCACCTGTTGATTTCTTCGCTAAATCCGTCAAGTTTACCCTAGCATTTACTTTTGACCATTTCGTCACAAGAAACCAACAGAAGTGGACAAATGTCCTCGGATTAGAACAGTTTACAAACTAGGTGAATCAAATTTGATGCAATTAAAGATGCAATTGAAAAGTCGTTTGTACTGCAGTCTGTTGGAGGTAAGTAGGAAGTTTTAGGTTCGATTGAGTAAAACAAGCTGTAGTGCGCTAGCATGCGTACTCTTCCTCTATCTCTGGGCGAGACTTTATCCAGATCTATAGATCTCCCCATCATCAAAGCAAGAGTTTAATCTCCATTCAATGTCGTTTTATAAAAATAAAATAAAATTAAAAGTGGTGGGTTGACTTTGTGTTTAGAACTACTACCTTCAACCCATTGCGTCTTAGTTCAAACCGTTTCCATTTTGTTTTAGTTTAAACAAATGTAGAACACCGTTTTTATTAGAAAAAAATAAAATAAAACTTGTGGATTTAATTGAAAATACATGGATAATAGTGAAAACTTTGGGAAAATTAGATGGCTAAAAACGCGTTTTGCGCATTTCTTTTTTCCTTAATTTGTGGTTTGATTTTGTGTATACATGTGGATTTGCAGGGAGATTGCATCCGGGACTATACCGGACCCTGGATCCATAAGGGCAAGTGATGTAACTGTGCTGGAGGTGCTATTGAAGGTTCCACACAGCATATTGTTGACATTGGTAAAGGATCTGGGTGCAGACTGGGACTTCGACTATGAATTGGACATAGGCCTCATCATTGACCTACCCGTCATCGGCAACTTTACCATACCACTCAACAAGAAGGGAGAGTTCAAGCTTCCCTCCCTCTTTTAATCATCATGTCTCTTGGGATTCAATTATTTTGCTACTATTTTATGTTATGTTATCTTACGTTTGTTGTTCTTTAATCATGGAATGGATGAGGATTTGCGTGGTGCTAGTCATGTTTTCATCCAATTGAGGGAGAATAAAGTAACCTTCGTAACAACCACAACTCACATTTTTCTTTGGCCAAATTGCACTCTAGTTTACTTCTTTAAGCAAATGTTCGTTTCATTTTCTTGTCACATTGTAGTTTGAGCATCTTCCGAAATATCTTAAATTTTTGCTAAATTAGCTAGTAAACGGTGTTGCAAATTTATTTTAGTGCGTTTAATTTAACATCTTCAACAACACTCTTTGCTTTAATAAAAAATCACCTTTTACTCTCGATAATTTTAATATTTCATTATTTTTTAGGGAGCTATACGTGTGCAGATAAAAATACAAAATACATTTCACACAATTCCACTAGTTTTCAAACATTTTAAAGAGGACAAAAGCGGAAAACAACCTAAAACCAGTCCAAAAGCGGGAACAAACTTTATCAAAATACAGCACATACCACTTAACAGGTCCATTACTAAACGGCCCAATATTAAACACAGAATCGATAAAATAATTGAATTGCCATTACGCCTTTACCAAAACCTCTAAACTGACGTCATATTCTTTATCCTCCATTTTCCGAATCTCTCACTCGAAGCCACTCCTTTCAAAGACCTAGATCCACTACAAAAAATTTGAGATTTCTACATTTCTCCAAACTACTATCCGACGAAGTTTCTACAGATTGACTGAAGAAGTTTTTGCAAATTGCCGACGATAAAGTCGACCATTTTCTAAAATGAACTCGAGGGACATTTCTGCACGATCAGTTCTCCTATTTGGAAAAATGTAATCCACAACTCATAACTTGTTTTTATAAATCCAACTGGTCCTTAAAAAACTTAGATCCACTGTACAAAACACAACCATTTTTTCACAATATCAATTTGGAAAAAAAAAAAAAAACTAAACTCATTCATTTATGCCCGAACACTTTCATTTCGCCAAAAGTCCACTGGTTTTTTCTGCATGATAAGTTTCTCTCTTTTAAAAAATGGAAACCCCCACCCAAAACTTGTTATTTTACAAATCTGAATGCGCAAAAATCTTATGCGGTTATTTTTGCAGATCAGTTCCTCCCTTTCAAAAAATGTAAACCCCCACCAAAACCTTGTTATTTTATAACTTATATTTCTTCAAAATCAATTTATCCCTTGAGATATAGTCTGTGTTAGTCTATTGATATGTAAAATCCGTAAATCTTATTATTGCATTTATGTAAGATCACTTTCAGATTTTAAAATACGTAGAAGCAGTTTGTGTGAGATACTTTCATAAAAATCTTTGTAGGTGTGAAAAATTGATTTTTATTATAATTTAACCAAAAATCTGTAGAAACAGTTTATGTTAGACTATCCATATGGAAAATCAATTTATGTAAGATTAGTATCAAATTTTATGTTCTTAGTTTATATTTTGTAAGATCAGTTTCAGATTTTTTTATTGGAAGCAGTTTCATTCTAAACTGTTGTGAAATCAATGTGTGTTAAACTACATTTTTGTTTTTTTTTATGGAAAAATAAATTTATTCTGTTTGTACCATACTTGACCAATCCCGAAACTACTGAGCACCGGTCAACGTTATACCGTCAAGGACCCAGAAGAGTTTCCCTCCAACCAAGAGACCAATCACAGCGCGACACGTGTCGACATCAGAAACCAATCATAGCGCGATACGTGTCAACATCAGAAGCCAATCACAACACGACAAGTGTCAATGTCAGAATGAAACTAGAAACTCTCTTCTATAAATAGAGATCATTCTCTCACAATATTTCCTAATGTCATTTGTACTAAATCATTCACTAGTACTCGCAAAGGGAGAGCTTGAACCTATGTACTTGTGTAAACCCTTCATAATTAATGAGAACTCCTCTACTCCGTGGACGTAGCCAATCTGGGTGAACCACGTACATCTTGTGTTTGCTTCTCTGTCCCTATCAATTTGCATACTTATCCATACTAGTGACCGAAGCAATCTAGCGAAGGTCACAAACTTTAACACTTTCTGTTGTACCAGAGTCCTCACTGATTTTGTGCATCAACATTTGGCACCGTCTGTGGGAAACGACACTTATTTCCACTCTCTTCAGCTTTGTCAAGCTGGTTTCCACCATTCGTACACTCTCTTTTGACCATGCATCCCTCTCCAACATGGGATGCGAAGGAAGCCACAGCACACAGAATGACACCCCTCTTGCACCTAGTGCGAAGCAACGAAGAAGGAAGGAAAAAGGGTTGCTCTTCAAGCTAAAGTCGATGAGCTAGAAGCTCAGAACAACAAGATAACAATGAAGAATGAAGTCCTCCAGGAGCAGTATGAGAAGCTCTTTGAGACGCTCCATGAAACTAGGCGTACTCAAACATGCGAGCTCCTTGCCCCTGTGGATATCAACCATCATTTGGGTGCCCCCTAACACAGAGGGTCACCTTCCTTCGACATGGGTATCCTTGATGAGGAGCGAGCTAATCATTAAAACATTGATCAACGTGAGACTTCTCTCAACCCAGCTGCTTTGACCCGAAGCAGGAGAAGTGGAGGAAGACACCTCCTTGCAGAAGGGTTGGAAGGATCAAAAGCCATTTATCATGACTGCCGAGACTTCCTAAAGCAACGTCGAGAGAATCCCCTTCACATATGCTCGAAGATCAATGACCCAAGGGTTTCTGAAAGACTCGGTCCCCTCCTACGACCCAGGCCAGCTGCCAATTTAGGGAAGGAACGACAGGTCCCAGAGGAACATGAAGGTACATGGGACTCTGAGGTATTCCGATAGACTTGCCCTAGAAGTCAGTACGACGAGTCCAAGGAAAAATCACACGCCCTTCCTCAAACTTTCCTACTTCCAAGAGGCGATGGAGACTTACAAAAGAAAATCCCAGTGGTACATGACTCCACTCAGGACCCTCTTGTCCAACGGCTCATTGAGGAAGTAAACAAGTTGAAAGCCGAACGTCAAGCCGAGATACCTGACTGGAACCAACCCAGGCCTGACCCTCTCACAAGAAGGATCCTCGATACCCCCCTTCAAGCAAAGACAATACAAAAGTTTGGTTTACAACTCTATATTGGAAGGGAAGACCCAATTGAACACCTTAACCTCTTTGAGTCCACCATGGCATATCGGATGCACACTGATGAAGAGCGATGTCTTTTCTTCCCCTCTACCCTTTTTGGTGGAGCTCTAAACTGGTATTGCCGTTTTCCACCTGAGACAGTAGACTCATTTGAGGAATTGAGGAAACTGTTTGTCTCTCAACACATCTTCCAAACCGATCGCTTGCATTCTACAGATGACTTGTACACTATTCGCCAGAAGCCAGACGAGTCACTACAAGAGTATGCCGGTCGTTTCAACCATAAGTATTCTCGCTGCGCTGAGGCAGATGACAAGATCGCCCTCAAGGCCTTCACGACAGGCCTACGTGATTGTTTATTCAAGTACATGATCAATGCCAACACTTGGAAAACTTACTCTGAGGTGATGGCACAGGCTTACAACCATGCCTCCGCCGAGGCATAAACATATCAAGAGAAACCCCCCACAGCCACCCCTTATCAGCAAGTAGGGAGTGGAAGCTAGATCCAACCAAATGAGAAGACCTCGACCTTCCAAACGGCAGCGGTGCCTCCCCCTGCCTTACTTAATACTTTGTCAAGTCAACAGACCTATCAATCTCAGGGCAAAAGGAAAGATTTTCATTCTCATAAGTCTCATTTTAGTAAAAGGAGTAAGGGACACTACCGCGATAACCAAGGGTTTCACCATGATAATCTTCGACCTCAGGCAGTCAACACAGTAGGTTAAGCCCGTGTCAGGACAACCCCTACTCCAAGGTATGAGGCATACACACCTTTGAACGCCACATGCATGGCCATTTACCTCAGCATAGCACACCTGAGACCGAAGCTAAAGCCAAGGCACCCGGATTACAAGCCCACGAAGAACAAGGGCACGTTTTTCTGCTACCACGAGGATAACGACCATGACGGTGAGAAGTGTATCACCTTTCATGATCATATTGAATCTTTAGCACGTGAAGGAAAAATTGATCAATTCCTCCTTCACCCTTCAAGGGGTAACCATAACCAATGGCAGGTGAATGTTATATATTCCGTAAGTGGTGGCACACCCATATCTAAATCTTCCAACAGGGCCATGAAAAATAGGGAACGAGCTTTAAAGTCTGGCCACCAAGTGTTTCACATAGAAGACATCATTGGATGTAAGCATCAAAAGCCTAACTGGGATCCAATATGTTTCTACCCTGAGGAAGAAAGAGGTATCATCCTCATAACGACCCACTGATTGTGGAAGCTCACATAGCCAACTTTGAAGTACGACGAATCTTGGTAGATACGGGGGCTTCGGTCAATATCATGTTTGTTGAAGCTTTCAGGGCACTTAATGTAGCTGAACACTTGCTCGATCGCTCGATTTCCCCTCTCTTAAGCTTCTCCGGTGATATCGTGCAACCTTTGGGGAGCATACACTTACCTTTCACCATTAGTACAGGCCCTTACACAGCTACCATTACCACTAACTTCCTGGTGGTTGATTGCCCAACGGCATACAATGTCATCTTTGGACGCACATGCATCAATGATCTCAAGGCCATGGTATCCACACATATGTTGTTGATGAAATTTCCAACCCCCTATGGCAATGGTTACATCAGAGGAGATTAACTTAGTGCACGATCTTGTTACAACACTTCAGTCAAGCAACAGCACCTGCCTGTGCCCAAGGAAACCCTTTCTATACACGACCAAGTCATAAAGACCAGCCCAGACGAAGCCAACTTGGATCTTCACGGTGGCAACAGTCAACCCGACGATCCTCGAGATGACTCTTTCACCCAGCAAGCACAACCCACTGAAGAGTTGGAGAATGTCTTTCTCTCAAAAGATTATCCGGATCGCATAGTGAAGATTGGCACCACCTTGTCACCACCAATTCGGTTGGCATTTATCTATTTTTTGCATGAGAACACTGAGGTCTTCGCCTGGTCCTACGAGGACAAGCCAGGCATCTCTCCTGATATCATCTGTCATCGCTTAAGTATTGACCCTAAAACCAAGCCAGTGAGACAGAAGCGAAAATCTTATGACGCTGA